TCGTCCGACGTCCGTTCACGTCGCGGTGGTTCAACAGCTGCTCAACTAGATAGCGCTGGCCACCGCGAGAGTCCTCTAATGGAGGTGGAGGAGGAGGAAAGACGCTCTCCACACGATCATGTGGATCGGTGTGTTCCCGAGAGCTTCTTTGATCGCGTAACGCAAGGGTTACGCGACGATCTCGAGCATGAGCGGAATAGGCGTCTCCAGATGGTGGACACTGCCTCGAAGCATCGAGCTGAGTTTGCCTTTGCTCAGCTTGAGAACGAGAGATCTCTGACATCTCTTCGTGACGAGCTAAGGGTAGCTCGTGGGATTGTTGATCGGTCTCGGGCTGAGATAACTGCTCTTCAGACCCTTGTTGATGCCCACCATCGGGAGCACAAGGCTCTCTGCGAGATGCTTGAGCGCAAGGGCGTTCTTCATCGGAAGAAGCAGCGTACTGATGGTACGGCTTAAGCCGACCAACGTAAAACGTGGGATGCGTTCGCATCTTACGTGGTAACTCGATCGTGTATGCATTGCCTAGGCGGTGCAATACACGAAATGGGCCGATGTACTTGGGTAGTAGTTTACTGCTACCCAAGTTAGTCACTACATGCTTTGGTAGATTAACCGTAGACAGTAGGACTAAGTCACCTTTATTAAATAAAAGAGTGTTTGCCCTTCCATTCTTATCAGCGTTTTGCTTTTGCTTATCCACCGCTTCGGCGATGGAGTCTTGCACAAAACGGACTACCGTTTCACGAGCCAGTATGAACTCATCTGATGACTCGTTAGCTTCAGTGTGCTGTGAGCGCACTGCAGCAACATCAACCATTTCTTCAGTGAGGGCTTCCGCGCTCTCACTGGCATCATCTTCTTCGATATCGATGTTATCGATATCGGCATCAAACGCAATGACTTCTTCGTCAGAGCGTGATGAGCGTGAACCAAATCGGTTTTTGCTCGCGCGAGTCCCTCCCCCCCCTTAAACCAGAGTTACACTCTAGTAAGGTGGGTACACGCGGATGGCGCAAGCCATTCACGTAAAACGGTGTATGTGTCGTGGACGCATGCACCGAGTTGTTAATGGCAAACTCTATCATTGGCAAAAACTCACTCCAACTCTTAAAGGAGTGTACGTATCCTCGAAGTATCTCTTCAAGTACACGATTGGCACGTTTCGTCTGACCATCTGACTCTGGATGATCAGATGTCGACATCTTCAAGCGCGTTCCGAGTGATTTGAACACGGAACGCCAGAAATCAGCAGTGGAGCGTGGATCTCTGTCTGTTACGAGTTCACGGGGCAACCCATGAAGTCGGAAGATGGTGTCGATAAAGACACAAGCACAGCCACTTGCCGTGATTGTCTCTGGTACAGCCACAAGGTGTACCATTTTGCTGAATCTGTCAACAAATACGAGAATACCCGTATTCCCGCGTGCGTCGTTGGGTAACCCGAAGACGAAATCCATTGAGATGGATTCCCAGCACTCAGCCGGAACCGGTAGAGGCTGTAAAGGTGCACGCAGTGAAGGGATTGAATTCACTCGTTGACAGACTTCGCATGCGCGAACATACTTTCGCACAAACTGATACTGGCGGGGCCAGTAAAAGTCTCGACTCACCGTGAGATATGTTTTCTCTCGGCCACGATGTCCTCCTATAGGAGCATCGTGATACTCGAACATGATCCGCAAACGCAGATCAGTATCATCTGGAATGACAACACGTGGTGTGCCACCAGAAACGGCTGTATAATACAATGACCCGTTTCGAGTAGTGCATCGATCTGATGCAGATCGATACGCAGACGATCATCGTTTCAACAATTCTCGAGATAGTTGTGAGATATGTGTCAACAACTTTACAATCTCATCATCTTGGGAGTATGCCCGCCTCACACCATCATACAACGTTGTAGATGGGACTGAGGACGTCATAACCGCAACAGTGACTGTCTCACTGTTGGGTTTCACGACTGTTTCAAAGTCGGGACGACGTGAGAGTGCATCAGCGACGACATTAAGTCGTCCTGGTTTGTACTCGACCGTAAAGTTGTATTCTGCAAAGAATGACAACCACCGCGCCATTCGTTGTGAAAGGTGCGGCCTGTTCACTGCCGTGTGTAATGACGCATGGTCAGTGTACACAATGAAGGGTCTATCTCCTAATAGATAGACTCTGAACTTCGCGAGTGCATTCTTCATGGCAAGGAGTTCCTTGTCATGCACTGGATAGTTCCGCTCAGCTGGTTGCAGCTGACGCGACTGATAGCAGACGACGCGTTCAACGCCTTCAAGATCGTACTGCATTAATGCACAGCCGATTGCGAAATCGCTGGCATCACAGACCACATGAAATGGCCTGTCCTGATCGGCTATTGCTAGGACTGGGTAGTGTATCAAGCTCTGCTTGATACCATCAAAGGAGCGATGACATTCAGCGTTCCATAACCACCTCTCGTTCTTTTTCAACAAACGAGAGAGGTGCACAGTCATTTCGGCGTAATTGCGTGAATGCTTGTGCAAATACGCCGCTAGCCCAAGTAATTTTCGAAGACCTTTGACATCAACTGGCACAGGCCAGTCGGTGATCGCCTTGATCTTTCGGGATCAGGACGTACACCGTTCTTACCAACGATGCACCCAAGAAGTGGTATTTTGCTTGATGCAAATATACACTTCTTGAGGTTAGCATACAATTGATGCTTTCGCATGATTGTAAGAACCTGTCGGACGTGGTACCTGTGGACCTAAACTTCCGACTTTCCATCCATAGCTCGACTATGGATGAATACGTCATCGAAATAACTCGGCGCGAATTCTCGTACTGGTCTCAACAGATGTGATACATATCTGTTGAACGTGGCAGGGGCATTACTAAGCCCTTGTGGCATTACTAGCCATTCCCAGAGCATGCGCTAGGCGTGCTAACTGCGGTATAGGGTATATCCTGTTCTCGCATAAGGATCTGATAGAAGCCATCCATCAAATCCATGGACGAAAAGATGGTACCCTTTGACATACCATCAATGATTACGTCCTTCCTCGGTATCGGCGTCTGAGCCGGTACCGTTGCAGCGTTCAACTTGTTAAGTGCATGCACAATCCGCCACCCTCCTGTTGCTTTTCGCACACAGAAGGTCGGAGAGCTATGTGGGAAGTTGATTCCCTCACATGGCCCGCAGCTAAACGATCGGCAAAGAACTTGTCGATCGCAAGTACTTGTTCACGAGGCAGTGGCCACTGCTTCATGACACAGTACTTCGAGCCTGGTTTAAGCTCGACTTCGTGTCGAATACCTTTATCCTTCGGTAATTCGCACGGAACAGTTTCAGGGAATACATCCTTGAATTCAACCAAATCTTCATAGAGATGATTTGTCTTGAGCGATTCCCACGATTGGGAGTCATATCGCTCAATTCGTGTCTTTTCATCGAGGACACTCTCGTCCATTGATGAACTACTGAGAACTCTCTCGTTCTCAGTAAACACTGTTGCTGACCTTATGTCGGCTACACACTCGTCGTCAGCGACGAGTACGCAGATCTGCTTGACTTTGCCACTACGCAGATCACGCAAGAACCTTTTATCTTCGAGCGTTGGCAGCTGAGTGATCTCCGAAGTCAACTTCGGAGGCGCAATCAGATCAAGTGTACAAGCGCCTACACTTGATCCGTTATTGACTATGACATTCAATGTCTCTGTCATTTCCTGGGGACTTATTCCCTCAGGCTTCGAAGGACTTATTCATTCGGCTTCCCGGGGACTTATTCCCGCGGGTTTCGGGGAGCTTATTTCCGCCGTATTTGTTATATCGGGACTTATTCCCTTAACTTCCTCTAGCTGGGGTTGCGCAACCACAGCGAGATCCTCTACGAAAGACTCTCCAGTCGATCTAGAATTATCGTTTCGCTTAACCTGAGCGATCGATTGTTTCTCTTCTAGATGTTCCCCGCCAGGGATACATCTTTGTCCCGGTCCACTCGACTTATTCGAGTGGTGGACCTTCGGCGCAGCCTGTGTTTCCTCATAGCCGCCGGAATCTTGCTCCGAAATGTAACCGTTTGTTACAGTATGTGTTTGTGCAGTCGTACTAACGACCGTATCACAAGTGAGACCATCGCACTCACTCGTAGTACATCCACACGCTTGTGGACGCTCCAAAACGTCGTTCATTAGATGGCCATCTGATGAACAAGCGGCAGGCATCGTTACTGTTCGATGTTGCCAGTTTACTCGTGGTTCGTACCTTCTGAGCCACGGTATTCCAAGGATGACTTCAAATTTGTCATCCAAATCCAATACGATAAAGTCATCGTCATATTGGGTATCTTCTAGCGTATAGTGGATCTTCACTATACGCTTCATGACGGTTCGGATGCGCCTGTCGCAAGACGTACCGTCATCCTCGTAGGAGATGTGTCATCTTCAACAAACTTGAAGTGACCATCTTTTAGCGATTGGCGTCGCACAAAATTGTTGGACGCCCCACAATCGACTAGAGCTTAAAGGAACAACTTATTTGTCACTTCGAGTTTCAAAATAATGAGTGAGATCTCATTACCTACAGCAGCAACGTACAACATTTGTGTTGGGAGCAACCTTCATCAAGAGGCCTACAAATTCTCTTGACGTTGCTGGACCAGTAGGGTGCTCCGCACCTACTGATCCTGTCCGTTTTTTTGACGGTCCATCCCGTTGTTGCGTCTTTGCACCAACCGCGGACCCTCGTCCCTGCCCCTTTCTCATGGGTGGACGGTCACTACGCCCAGTGTTGAGAGACACCGGACGAGGGGCACTACACTCGTAAGCGTAGTGTCCTGTCATTTGACATCTGTTGCATTTCTGCAACTTCTTGTAGCCTGTAGAGCGAGCCTTCTCGCTCTCTACATAACAGAGTTCCATCGGCTCTGGACCTCCGCTGTCATATCGTCTCGGTGGACGATATGATGTCGAGCTGGCGCATGACTGTCTCAGACTGAAGTCTTCCTGTTCTACAATGGAAATGGCTTACTCTAGTGAATCTAGTTCAATTCGGAACAGGTGAGTCTTGACGGGACCATCCGCAAGACCCTGCATGAACACCGAAACCAACGTGTGTTCATCCACCGGGTTAGAGCTTATACAACTCGTGAGATGTCGTATATGTTGCGCGTAAGCGTGCACATCACGCTTACCCTGCTTGATCTTCAAGAGTTCAGTTCGAGCTCTGAACTCAGCTCTAGGCGGTTCAAACGTTTGTCTAAGCCGCGACTTGAAGACTTCCAACGACCCAAACGCATATGGGTCGTGCAGCTTGAGCCCCAGTGCCCAAGTCTTGGCACGTCCTGCCAGATTTGACTGGGCAAATGCAACTTGCATATCCCCGTCGTCGATGCGACGCGCCCTTATGGCGTCATCCAATTCGACGAACCATCTCAAGAGGGAGTCCTAATTCGACCCCCCCTATACTTGGAGATGTCAATCTTCAAGGTCTCGGGTCGACGCGAGTGCATCGACACACCAGCAGCAGCCTGCTGCTGTCTCAACAGTTCAAACTGTTGAGCACCCTGTTCTCTCAACAACTCTGCTTGTTGAGAACCTTGTTGGTGAAGCAAGGCTACTTTCTCGCGTTCTGCGTCAAGTTCATTTTGAATGAACTTGGCGATAGTAGCATGTTGGGCATCTCTATTGAGAGCCTCTAGCATGACGCTAACATCATGGATGCCCATGGTTGAACCCATCCGTTCAACCGCATCCCATTCGACATCGCTCAAATGGGAGTAGCCTTCACGCGTAGCGTGAAAGCTTTGGTCATCTTCATCATCCAACATATTCATGTTGGATGTGAACGCGGTCCTTGGACGGACTACGAAGTGCTACCAGGTGTAACGGGGCACCCTGAAGCTTGTACTGGTGACAGTACAAGCTACTTATTCTGATGACAGAATAAGGCGGTGCCTCGTAACTTCACGTACACTCGTACGTGCAGAGGAAGACGGTAAGAAGAAGCGAGTACTTGGTTAGAGTAAAAAGTAGAACTGTATTTATAATAGTTAATGTCTGCAATAAATCACTATTTATCTTCATCTAATTATGTCTGAATACAAATGTGTAAATCAGTTATCTGCTCACCACTCATTGCGTGCGTCTGTCGTGGCGCGTCTTCGTTGGTTGACATAATGGCCTATATCAACCAATTAGGAACTACTCGTAAGTGCTACAGAATAGTTGTCCTTATGACAATATTCTGAGAATAAAACTCTTATAGGTACATTCTATTAACAGTTTCTGATAAATTGTTATGCAACGGTTCACCCTGTTACATATTTATCCCGCCCGTAAGGCTTAGCACTAATTTCAGCTACTGGAAGTCTACAATGTCCACACATCTTAACCTTTTACATATGGCACAAGAAGAATCGAATTTAACTGGTAAGCCTATCAGCTATTTGTTAAGACGTTTGACGATATTTGCAGTACGAAAGAGCTATATTTAAAGTACGGAAAAGCCTCGCCCTTGACAGAATGAATGATTATTAGACATCCTAGGAAACGCGACGGAAAGGAGATCTGTACTATGTACATGATCAGGTTATCAAAAAGTGGATATAGATCGACAAAGTGAACCATACAGTCACTAACTTTAAAAAGTGGTAAAATAGAAACCAAAAAGAACAATATTTTGTATTCAATCAAGATTTTGCTAGTGGCTGTGGACGTGCTTGGAAAAAAGAACTCCGGACTTTGAGAGGAGTGCCGAAAGATGAAGGCCGAATCACTCGGACGAAGCAACACAAAAACCAACTCAATAAAGGGGCTGGTGTGCTTGTTTGGACGACCCCATTGTTCTTATGCATTCACACACCATCGAATGCAGCAATCGTTGAACTCCTTCCCGCCAGAAAACTGAATAGAACAGAGATTCGTTGCATAATCCTGGTACTTTGTCTTGGTTACATGCTCGGTCTGACACGCCTTGACATTTGCGCAATTCAGCGGCGTGCATTTGCGGTTGCAGCACGGCTTTGGATCTAGGTCGCCCTCGCAGCTATGGAAGATCGGATAGAACCTTACATCACTGACAGCGAAGCACTGTTCCACACTGTTACAAACAGTATATATATTCCGTGTGAACTGACTGGCCACAGGAAAAATCACGACGGAGGCCATGACGTAGACCAATATCCCCTTGATGTTCATGGGAGTGGGCGATTCAGGTTAGGATGGCTTGAAATGCTAGACTGAACACTGTTTGGCAAAAAGCAGAATGAAAGTTGTGTTGAACAAGCTCGATGTTTGTTGTTATTCTGAAGCCCAGAAAATTTAAGTACTGAACAGCTATGTATTTGGATGGGTAAGAGGGGGAGTCGGGGGGAGGAATCTGGATCGACATCCGAGATTGTGAGAGGTACCTGGAACGACAGCCGTGATTGCGTGAGATATGTGGAAAGACAGCCGTGATTGAGTGAGGTACCTGGAACGACAGCCGCGATTGCGTGAAATTCTCAGATCGACATCCGAGTTGGTGAGAGGGTTCTGGAACAATAGCTTTGATTGCGAGAGGTGCCTGTTTCGACACCCGAGATTAATTTACGTACCGAAATCAACGTCTAAGGTTGAAGGAGATATCCGGAACGATAGCCGTGATTGCGTGAAGTATCTGGCTCGACACCTCAAATTGCGTGGGGTGCCTGGTTCGATAGCCGTGACTGCGTGATGCTCTCAGATCGGCATCCGTGATTGTGAGAGGTACCTGGAACGACAGCTGTGATTGCGTGAAGTACCTGGCTCGACACCTCAAATTTCGTGAGGTACCTGGAACGACAGCCGTGCTTGCGTGATGTTCTCACGTCGACATCCGAGATTGTGAGGAACCTGGAGCGACAGCCGTGATTGCGTGAGATACATGGAAAGACAGCGGTGATTGAGTGAGGTACCTGGAACGACAGCCGTGCTTGCGTGATGTTCTCAGATCGGCATCCGAGATTGTGCGAGGCATCTGGAACGATAGCCGTGATTGCGTGAAGTATCTGGCTCGACACCTCAGATTGCGTGGGGTGCCTGGTTCGATAGCCGTGACTACGTGATGCTCTCAGATCGGCATCCGTGATTGTGAGAGGTACCTGGAACGACAGCTGTGATTGCGTGAAGTACCTGGCTCGACACCTCAAATTTCGTGAGGTACCTGGAACGACAACCGTGCTTGCGTGATGTTCTCACGTCGACATCCGAGATTGTGAGGAACCTGGAGCGACAGCCCTGATTGCGTGAGATATATGGAAAGAAAGCCGAGATTGAGTGAGGTACCTGGAACGATTGCCGTGCTTGCGTGATGTTCTCAGATCGACATCCGAGATTGTGAGAGGCATCTGGAACGACAGCCGTGATTGCGTGAAGTATCTGGCTCGACACCTCAGATTGCGTGGGGTGCCTGGTTCGATAGCCGTGACTGCGTGATGCTCTCAGATCGGCATCCGTGATTGTGAGAGGTGCCTGGAACGACAGCTGTGATTGCGTGAAGTACCTGGCTCGACACCTCAAATTTCATGAGGTACCTGGAACGACAGCCGTGCTTGCGTGATGTTCTCACGTCGACATCCGAGATTGTGAGGAACCTGGAGCAACAGCCGTGATTGCGTGAAATACATGGAAAGACAGCCGCGATTTAGTGAGGTACCTGGAACGACAGCCGTGATTGCGTGATGTTCTCAGATCGACATCCGAGATGGTGAGAGGCATCTGGAACGATAGCCGTGATTGCGTGAAGTACCTGGCTCGACACCTCAAATTGCGTGGGGTGCCTGGTTCGATAGCCGTGACTGCGTGATGCTCTCAGATCGGCATCCGTGATTGTGAGAGGTACCTGGAACGACAGCTGTGATTGTGTGAAGTACCTGGCTCGACACCTCAAATTTCGTGAGGTACCTGGAACGACAGCCGTGCTTGCGTGATGTTCTCACGTCGACATCCGAGATTGTGAGGAACCTGGAGCGACAGCCGTGATTGCGCGAGATACATGGAAAGACAGCGGTGATTGAGTGAGGTACCTGGAACGATAGCCGAGCTTGCGTGATGTTCTCAGATCGGCATCCAAGATTGTAAGAGGCATCTGGAACGACACCCGTGATTGCGTGAGGTACCTGAAACGACACCTCAGATTGCGTGAGGTACCTGAAACGACACCTCAGATTCGTGAGAAACCTTGATCAACATTTAATAGGTAGGAGGTACCTGTAACGACAGCCGTGAATCAGTGAGGTAGCTGATTCGACACTTTAGACTACGTGAGGGACCTAGGTCGATACATAGATTCGGAATTTGGTTTTTGGTTATCAAAGATAGGGATCACTTTAACTACCTTCTTCTGAACCTCCATAGTTCGTATTGGAGACACTGCTTGCAGGTGCTATCGTTGATCTGATTTAGATCGTTAAGCCCGTATTTGAGTTTTACTTCCACCAGAAAGCAGTACAGAACACCGCTAGTAGTAAAACCAAGGTTTAGTAAAGGGTCTTAAAGCGTCAGGGTTGTCCATTATGTCTGAATACGAGGTAGCACAAACGTTTGATTTATAACTTGGTAGAACTGACGCTGGAGCAACAGGCTCAGCATTGTAAGTTGCACTACCTAAAGGGAAGTCTGGAAGGCGTTTTATAATGTAGAGGATACAGCAAGGAAGACAAGACCAAAGACGAGGACTGTCTATGCAACATTATCTGTTTAGCAAGTATGCCATGTAACGAGGTAGTCTGTTACATAAAATTGACACAAAACGGAAGCAATGGGAATTTTTTTTAGAATGACCTTATTCTACCGATCTTATCCGAGACGGATAATATTCATGTGCTGCTCCAAGATTGGTTGATATAAGACATACCACCCATAGATTACCACCAATCGCTGCTAGACGCGCGCAACAAGTAGTGAGCAGGTTGTCGTCATACGACGACGTAGTTTAATGTAGTTAGATGAAGATTCAAGTTATATTGATAGCTTATGTAATGGGGCACCCTGAAGCTTGTACTGGTGACAGTACAAGCTACTTATTCTGATGACAGAATAAGGCGGTGCCTCGTAACTTCACGTACACTCGTACGTGCAGAGGAAGACGGTAAGAAGAAGCGAGTACTTGGTTAGAGTAAAAAGTAGAACTGTATTTATAATAGTTAATGTCTGCAATAAATCACTATTTATCTTCATCTAACTATGTCTAAATACAAATGTGTAAATCAACTATCTGCTCACCACTCATTGCGTGCGTCTGTCGTGGCGCGTCTTCGTTGGTTGATATAATGGCCTATATCAACCAATTAGGAACTACTTGTAAGTGCAACAGAATATTTGTCCTTATGACAATATTCTGAGAATATAACTCTTATAGTTATATTCTATTAACAATTTCTGATAAATTGTTATGTAACGATTCACCCCGTTACATCACCCCCCCCTTAACCATCAGTCACTTTAGTGACTGATTGACTAAATGGATACTCGTCCCAAATCATTTGGGACAGGGTTTGCACTTGTTGGTCCGCGTCCACTTTCCAACATTTCATCGCATGGTTAACAAGCCCATGCGATGCGCGAGCAAGGCCGCCGAGAGCGCGTCCGCTCGTCTCTGTACGGACGCCGAAGCAGAAACAACAGCAACTGATGTCCCATCGGTTGCTGAAGCGACCCAGCCTGTGTCACTTGGTGACGCAGGCGCTGGTCATGAAGACACTCGTGTCTTCACAGAGTACGAGCTCGGTGTCTCGTACTCTCCTGATACGGATGACGGATCCGTATCAACGGCAATTGAATCTAAGCCGCCTGCCAAGCGTGGCATGGACGATGC